ATTCTGCACGCCAGTTACACCAGTTGTTTCACGGGGTCTCCTTTATCTGTATGTCTTTAGGAGCATAAATCCTTTGGGGCACTGCCTGCCTCCCTAATCTCTGCAGCACCAGGCAGTTACGCTCTACAGCAACAGCGGTGTCTGCTCTGTGTCTGTCGGATGCGTTAGCAGGATCTGGCGAAACGACAGCTTTACACATTTCTCTTTAAGGAAACCAGGACTGTGCTTATCGGTCAGGTACAGAGTCACTGAAGAGCAATGCAACAGCGTCCTTCAGCAGATTTTGTCACCTATCTCCACGGGCTCAAGGCGATGGGACGCGAAGCTAGATCCCTTCGTAAAAGACATTTGTGAAGAGGTCTGTCAGGGTCAGCATCAACGGCAGGACTCTGATGGGAAAGGCGATTAGCGAAGAGACCTGGTTATCTGTACCTGCCATTTCCGAGAACAGTAAAGAGATTTGTCTTCAGAAGTGAACACATCTGTTTTGCACGGAATGAACAAAAAAAGCCTAAGTTCTACTTAACTTTTACATTTCTAGTGTGTAAAAAACAGAGATTTCCAGCTGTCACGGTGAGACTAACATCCCATCCCAATGGGAAGGTGTATCTCGTATTCTGAGGAGCGCGAGCCCACCCACGCTGAAAACACTACCAAGGCAAAGTCGTAACACAGCGATTTCTTGTAAGAAGCTCAGTTAAGCAGGAGAGTATCGTGTACCACCTTGAGGGATTTCTCTCCCTTTCTTTAAGTAACGAAGTCTCCACATCTGCATGTCAGAAACGCGCATGAGCTGGAGCAGGGTCACAGAGCGGGGCCCAGCTGACCCCAAACCCTTTCTGTGAGGCCGATACTCCTGACAAAACACGTCCTCTCCTTCAGGAGGTAGGGAAGGAAGAAAAACCCCAAATTTACGAGGGAGATCTTTAAGGACAGTCTCTGGCCTACGGGGATTTCAATCTGAGCCAGAGGGGACAACACGTAAAAGACGGAATAAAATCAACGCTGATCTCAAGGCAGCGCGGAACAAGTTCGCTCCTGGGAGGAGTCCACGCGAAGTTCGCTGACCCGCGGGCTGGAACCGAGAGGCCGCGGAGCCTCCCCGCAGCATCGCCGGGGGCCAGAGGGGAGCGCGACCGGCGGGGACGCACCCTGCGCACAAGGTCG